AGAGCCCGGGGTGTCACCTCCCAGCTGAGAGGTGGCATCTGTGCAGACAGACAGTGCTGCTGATCCCAGGGACACGCTCGCCCAGTCCGACCACAGGGAACCCAGCCCAGAGCCCTTGGGAAACAGGGACAGCGTGGGGACCGGCTCTGCACGGGGCCGTGGGGTCAGTGGCCAAGGGGAGGAGGCAGCTGGATGTGTCTGCTCCTCTGCTGGGGTTTTCCTGGGTGAGAAGAGAAGGTGCTTGACGTTACGAGAAAAGCGGCCAAGTGCAGAGTGCTGGAGGAGGGGTGGTGAGGCTCAGTCTGTCTTTCCCAGCTTCGCTATCAGCTCGTCACAGATCTTGGTCAGCTCCTCAATCTCCTGGTTCTGCAGGAAAAGCAGTTCTTGAGGACACCACAGTGGCACAGATGGGGATAACACCCAGGTCACCAAGCCAGCACAGGAAGGGGCAGCCGGCTCCTACACTTGCCCCTGTAAAACCTCCTCCATGCAGCATCCAGGTGCTGCAGGGACCCCTGGGCTCACCCCTCCTCATCCCCGGCAGATCCCCAGCTGCAGCCCACACATCTGCCAGTGAGCACACGTGAGCGAGCTCTGCCCGTGCTCCAAGACAAGCTGTGCCCACGCCTGGGCAGAGCTGCACCTCCTTCCTTGTGAGAGGACATGGTCATAGGCTTAAATAAGCAAACAAAAAAGCAAACAAAACAAAACAAACCACAAAAAAACCCAACCAAACCAAAAAAAAACCCCAACCAAACAAAAAAAACCCAACCAAACAAAAAAAACCCCAACCAAACAAAAAAAAAACCCCAACCAAACAAAAAAAAAACCCCAACCAAACAAAAAAAACCAAAAGACAAAACACATTTTGGACCAAAAATTCGAAGGACACCTCCAGCACTGACACGATGCTCAGGGCAGCAAAATGGAAATGTGGAGCCAAGCTGAGGGGCTCGCAGAGGGCAGGGCAGGTTCCTCACCTTCTGCTGGAGGGCTCTCTCCAGGGACTCCACCTTCATCTGCTCCTTGCGCAGCCCGGCGTGCAGTGCCGCGCTCTCCGCTTTGGCCTTGGTGCGCACCTGGGCGATCTCCTCGTTGGCTCTGCCATGGGGTGTGGAGAGAAGGGGACAGTGGTCACAACTGGGTGCTGGCAGGAGCATGGCAGCACAATGTCGGACCATGTGGCATCATCAGAGCCCGGCTCCTGCTTGCCTGGCTGCCTTGGAGGTGGTTTTCCCACATGGAAAACCTGCAGGGAACTGGGTTAATTCAGCTCCTCCAGACTCTTGTATGGAAACACTGCTTTCTCAGAGAGAAGCTAAAGCTGCTCCTCACCCACCCCACTCATGTTGGTGAGCTGCTGCTCATCACCTGAGCCTCGGAAGCTGCATGACCCCTTCACTAACAGGAGCCCTCTGAAACATGGGAACTTGTTAAGTGACTGGAAATAGACCGTGAGCCTCAGTTTCTCCATTAAAAAAACAACTAAGCAGAGAGCAGAGAATCCACTCAGGGATGTGGGCTGCTTATTTAACAGCCACTTCAACTCACTTGAGCTTGAGGTTGTAAAAGGCAGCTTTTGACATCAGTAAGCTCCTGCTTTCCAACCTCAGGAAAGCCAAGCAGAGACACTGCCCTACAAGGTCTGTAAGCACCCAGGAAGCTCCTCAGCACACCCAGAGGTCTTGTGCATGACCTTACTTGTCTAATTTTTCTTCTGCGTGGACTTTCAGGGCCTGATACCGCTGCTCTTCTTGCTTGACCCGGTTTAAATAATCTTGAGCACACTTCTTCAGAGCTTCTTCATTCTGGGGGGGAGAAAGAAAAAAAGGTACATCCATCTGCTGAGCAGAGAGATGTTGCTCTGGTGGGATGACAGATCCTGTTCTGATCGTAAAAGAAAAGAGCTTTAAATAGACCCAGCTTCCAGGGCACGATGCTCCGCTGCCGGCAGCTCGGCAGGAGAGCGCAGGGGGAGTGTGGAGAAGAGCCAGAGAACCAGGCTCCCCGCAATGGCATCTCCTGGCTGCACGGGATGAGGGGGACAATGCTGCCAGGGAGAAAGAGGAAACCAAGGTAAGGACCTTCTTGAAGCCTTCCAGGACGCCCTTCAGGTTTTCATATCTCCTGAAGAGATCGGACAGGGACCTCTCCACTGAGTTCAGGTCTGCCAAAGCCTGCTCCTTTTCCATCGTGAGCTGCTGCAGGTTCTTCTGAGATGTCATGTTGGTCCTCTGCTCATCCTCTGTGATGGAGAATAAGCAGTGGGGACACAGTGAGTGAGCAGGGACGGCTGCAGCAGCCACTCCCCACCCCATGTGCCCGGCCAGGTGACAGCACCTCACCTATCATCTGGGCAATGGTCTTCTCATACTCAGCCACGATTTTCCTAGAAGGAAGGGAGAAAAAAAAGCAGGTAGGAGGCAGCAGTTTTTTGCAGACACACACCTACAGCTCTGCTGCCAGCAAACTGCCCCAGGGCCACCCCTTCCTGAGGCAGCTGCGGGTCTGCAGAGCCCCAATGCCCATCCCCACCACCCTACACCCAGATCCCCCTCCAGCTGCTGCCGCTCGGGCCAGCACAGCCCATGGGATGTGATTCCTGTGACAGACACTGGCACAAGGAGCACGTGTCTCCTAACATGTCCCACCCTGATGATGCCGAGCCACATCGCTGGGGTGAGGAGGAGGCTTTTACCTCATCTCTAGGACTTCCTGGCGGCTCTCTTCATATTTCTTCTTCCACTCGTTTGCTTCAATCTCCTTTGTGATTATCTAGGTTGCAGCAGACACAGGACCCTTGGGACGTGCTCTGGGTGGTCTCCATCACTGCCCCACCCGTGTGACGCACAGGGACCAGACCCCCCCTGGGCAGAGCAGCAGCCAGGATGGGGTCCAGCAAGGGGTGGTTGCCATGTTGGGGTGCACCCAGGGAGAAGGGGGTCCCCAGCTGTTACCTCCTCCCTGATGAGTGTCAGCACAGCCGCCTTCTCGGCTTCGCTCAGGCAGATGCCGTCCAGGGGACTCTCGCTCCGGCTTGTGCTGGTGATGGTTGCAGGGGACTTGTCCATGGAGCACAGCCCGGGATTGCCCTGGGGGGAAACACCCAGCTGGGATGCTGCGTGGGTTTTATTTTCACCCCATCTCCCCCGTTTGGGGTGTTCTTCCCCATTTTACCAGCCTCTGTTCAGGCTCTGAACCTCCGTACACACCGACAGCTCAGAGCCCCGTGTCAGAGGCACCTGGCAGAGCCCACGCTGGGATTTTGGTGGATGTTCTGCCCAGTCCCTTGCTGGGAGCTGGGGCTGTGCTGTGGGATGCTCACCCATGGGCTGCCCAAGGCTTGACATCCCCAAGGGGAGACCCAGCGGGGACCATTGTAGAAGGAGAAGACCCAGCTCTGAGCAGAGATGTGCTCACACCTGACAGCACTTCGCTTGCCCCATGGTTGGCTTTAAACTCTCTCCAGCCCAGAGGATCTTCACTGACTGTGAGCCCCACGCCGGGGTCTTGAGGGTCTGGGGCTCATGTCCCCATCACATTGCTGCAGCCAATGCATCCAAATGTCCCTTGGAGCTGCAGGGATGTTTGCTGGGCCATGCATTTGGGGAGAGCAGCAGACAGGAGCTGGCGGGGGAAGCAGCCTTCACCCCTCTGCTGAGCAGGATCCAGCTGACCCAGCTTGGGGGCTGCTCCCCATCCCCTTCCTGAGGGACAGCCCTGCTCACCCCACACAGCCCCAGCTGTCTGTAGGTCTCCAAAACCGGAGACACTGATGCAGGGCTCCCAGCACCCTCCTGTTTCCATTATGGGTGTTCCTACAAGGGCTGAGGGGGTTGTACCCCCTTTGCTCTCTGCTCTCTCCCCTCAGTGCTGCAGCCACAGGGAATAAACTGGGGGAGAGCTTGGCCCCATGACCCCCAGAGTGGTCCTGCCTGGATGCCGGCCCCATCCCTTCCCTCAGGGGTCCTGCAGCCTGAAAGGCCTCCAGAAAAGCATTCCTTCAATCTCAGGCTTACACCACCGCCTGTTCCTCCTTTCATCATCCCAGCCGAAGTGACAGCCCCCAGCAGCCATCTCCTTGGGAACCAGCTGCCAGGCCATAAATAGAGAAGTGCTGGGAGCAGGCAGCCTGCTTTAGCTGTGATTTGGAATCCAGAGCACTGAAGCACTTCCCTCCCTCGCCTCCTCCCTGCTCTTTGATGGCTGCTCAGGTTCAAGCCTGACAGAGCCCTTCACGGCTTTCAGGCAGCAGCGGGTGAGCGATGGCCGGTGGCAGGAGCCACCCCAGAGCCACCCCCGGGTGGTGGTTTGGGTCTGGGCAGGTTCAGCCCTGTGTGATTTTTGGCAGCAGCCTCCAGAGCATCTCCCTAAAGCAGAGCACACCTGAACACCTGAGGGTACTGCTGCCCCATGGCAAATCCTCCCACACTGGGGTTTGGGGATGACCCCGGCTCGTCTGCGGGAGCAGAGTCCACCCACGCTGTCCCCAGCACCAAACAAAATGGTCACTTTGCCCTGTGTCCTTGTGGGGCTTAGCACAGTTCAATCTGTCCCTGACAAGCTCGTTTTGCTGATGTTGCTAATCTCATTGTCGTCTGTTTGTCACCTCCAGCAGCTTTGGACAGGGGTGGCTAAGCTGGCACGGGAACCCCCAGCAGTGGAGGGATCTTGGGGCACATCGGAGGTGGCCCATGGAGATGTGCCAGGATCACTGGTGGCTGCAGAGCCAGGGCTCTTCTGATTAATCCTCTTGTCTCTGCTGTCAGT